GAACCAGAGTCCCCACTGCCTCTACCCCCATCCTGGGAGGTGGAGGCACCTGTTGCCAAGCTGGGGCTGTATGGGGTTTCCCAGCTATTTTAGGCTTTAGAGACTCTTGGTTTCACCAGGCCAGCTGCACTGGGGTGAGGGCACCAGGCCTGTAGGGAGCCCAGCTAGCGGCTGGCCTGTGGCTAGTTGGTGCTGGAACAGCCTGAAGATAACAACAACTGTGGAAAGAAGCAAACTGCCCATTTTCCATCCGGTCATTTCTCCCTTCTCTCTGGGGAGGAAAGTTTCACTATTATCAACCCAGCTGCACAGAGGGGAAACTGAGGCTTAACAGAGCCACCAACTGCAGCTGCAGAGGCCTGGCCCTGTGTCAGGGATCTTTGGTCTCTGCTTGCCTCTAACCGTTAGGGTGTCACCCCTCACGAGACCTCAGCCTGTGCTCCCTGTTGTCCCCCACCCTTCATTTCTTCCCAGAACAAATCCTTGTCTTCTATGTAACAGCATTCACTTTTTTTTTTTTTTTGGACCAGGAATTGAACTCAGGACGTTGAACTTGCCAGGCAGGCACTGTGCCACTGAGCTATATCGCTGGTCCAGCATTCACTTGTATATTAGATGTATTTCTGTCTCCCTTAAACTTGAGTGCTCTGAGCCCAGGTGTACCTGCCTTGTCCCCCACTGTGGTTCTGGCACATAATATGTGCTCAGAAAAGAGATCTGAACATGTGACTTTGCTCTGGTCAGTGTCTACATTGGGATCTGTCCATGCTGGACCTTGGTTCACACTAGAACTGAGTTGGAACTCCCTGGACTGGTCCCCTGAGAACTGTCTCACTTGGCTGGCCTGGGCTATTCTCATGAAAGCTGCTCTCTTTGGCCAGGCTCACTCAGCCTTTCTGGTTTTACTACTACTCTCTAGACAGGTCAGGAGAGGGTGTGCCTGGGGGTCTGGGCAGGAGCACCCCTGTGGCCTGCCAATGGGGGGAGAGATGGACCCCTTTCTCCTTTACTATCTCTGTAGCCAGGAGGCCTTGATATCTCCCTGTGCAGGCTAGGTGCTGGGACGGCATGGGTGACCCTTCTACAGTGAGCAGCTGAAGTAGGTCCAGGTTCCATTGCCTGGAAGTAACTGGCACATGGGACCGTCAGTGTACACTGGCCTGAGATGGGAAGCAGGAGTGAGCTCTGTGGCTGAGACGGGGTGTTTATGGGGCTGTAGGAAGAGGCATCACCAGAAGTCACAGCATGCATGGAAATAGAAGCACGGTGGATGCTCTGGAGGGTGGTCATCCTGACCACTGGCTACTTTGTCCCTGGAGTGGACACAAGGACATCTGATGACTCCTGTTCTGTAATGCTGGTCACAGAAGTTACACAGCTTCTTCCTGACTCCTATCCTGGTTTCACTAAGACATTATTCCTGATGCCTACAGTTTCTTTGGGAACCGGGGCTGCCCAGAGAACCCATCTTTTGCTGATCCCAGCCCGGGCTGTGGTATCATTGAGTGGGAAATGTTAGGGTCTCTTGGTCTCCTCTCATGAACTGGGCTTGGGTGAGTTTATTTTCGGGGGCTCTGGGTGAGGCCCATATGAGACCAGGCATGCAATGGTGACTGTCCAGTTATGCCTCCTTCATGGTGTTTCTATTAAAACTGGACTCACACAGCATGGTGTTCAGCATGACTGGGCCAGGGCCCAGTGGTTGTGGCTCGGCTCCTCTCTCTTCACATTATAACTCATCAAGCAGAGCACCATTTAGTCCTCCAGCAGCTCTGAGCTCTGTTAGCCAAAATTAATTGTCTGTGCTGGGTCCTTTTTGAGAGTGGAGGGAGTACATTAATAATTACCCCAGGCACAAGCTGGGAATGTCCAGGGAAACCCAGGCCATAGGTCACCTCACTTAGAGCCACAGGGACTGGGGTGATACTAGGGGAGGTTCATAAGGAATCCTCTGGCCAAACAGAATTAGGTTTGTGATCTCAGGTGACTAAGAACCTCTTTAGGAAAACAGGACTAAGATCGTCCCTGACCTTGAGCCTACCACACTCTGTCACATCACCGTGTTTATGTCCCTGTGGCCTCTCTGCATTTCATCAAGATGACCACACAGGACGGTGATGGCCCCCAAAAGAGGGAGTCTTCATGCAGGGTTCTTCCAAACATCTCCTGGTTCTCAGGGACTTGCCATAACAAAGTGTTTCTGGAAAAGGCACAACCTGTCCGACCTCGCTGATGCTGCTTTGGGTCTCCCTGAGTTTCCTGTGTGGAGTGAGGGACTGGGGAGATTTAGAACTGTTCTTCCTGCGTGGTTCATTTAGGAGCCACAAGGAGGAGGTTTGACTCAAGGTTATGACACATGGCTCCTTCAGGGCCATGGAAACCCTCTTCTGATGTGGGGGATGGATTCATGGATTCACACAGCAGCGGGGATGTGACCTAGAGATGGGGTGGGGGACATGGAGCCTGCCCTGGGAGTGACAGAGGACCTGCTAAAAGTCAATGTGTGAGGAAGGAGAGAGTTCATCAGCACTGTCACTAAGCCAGTGGGCATCAAAGTGGACAGTGACCGCATTGTCCGTACCCCTGAAGTTCTAAATTCTAGTGGGCTGGAAAACTCGGTTATGGGTCTTGGGGCTGGGATGTACTGGCTGGGGCCATGAGTACCCTGGGTGGAGCAGGGGGTGTCCCCCGCTGTAGCCTGGTTGAGGACGTTCTCTTAGTGTCATCACGGGCCTCATAGCAAGGCTGGGCCGGATAGGGCGGTCACCCCACCCAGCTCAGTAGGAGCTCCCAGCCCCTCCTTGCTCCTAGAGCCTCAGACAGCCACCTCCTTCCCCTCCTCCAGCCCGAGCAGCTGCCTTGCTGTCCCTCCTCTAGAACCCCAGAGTCACCCCCCTCTGCTGGGGCACCTCCAACCCCTTCTGTGCTATTCTGGGCTGTGGCTTTCAAAGCTGTAGAGGAAGCTGTACACCCTTCCCCCATCGGACTGAGAGTAATTTTTCTCAGCCCAGGGGCCACAGTGAGCACAGAGACGCAAGTACTCTTCCTTGTACCTTGAGGGACTAGGCCGGCGTAGGTCTGCCCAGTGTGGTGGGACCGTCACTACGTCAGGCCGACCTGGGCAGGGCAGTCTATGCAGACAGGTGTGGGCTCAGGCCTACCGTGGCTGCCCTTGGGCTGCACAGAGCCTAGGCAGATCCTGTACATCCCTCATGGCCAATGGTTCTTCTGTGAGATGGGCAATGGCAATCCCGAGGTCACAGGGTCATTGGGCAATCAATGAGGTACTGTGATGTCCCCTGAGTGGCCCAGCGGTGGCATCTGGGGCATCCCACAAGTGTTTCTTCTGTTAAATTCATCATAAGCATGAGGGGAGATACTTCTGCTGTGTTCAGTGTTCCCTGGGCCAGGAGGAGACCTTAAGGACTGAAGGACTAGGCGGGAGACCGTGGTGGACTCCATGCTGGTGTCGCCACCTCAGTTCATGAGCTCTTCCAGAGTAACTGTCTTCACCTCCTTGCACCCAGCACCTCACCCACAGCAGTATCCACTGAAGGTTTGTTGAATGAATGAGTGAACAAATGAAAGAATGGCCTGCAGAACTGAAGATGTATGGGAAAAAGCCTGGAATGGGTCACCCCATAACTCCCTGTACGACTCTGGTCAGATCGTCCTCATCGTTGGAGTCTCACTCTCCTCGTCTGTGAAATGAGCAAACACCTGCCCTAGTTTGCTCTGTGACTCAGGGGGTCCTCCTACGATCTCCTCACCTTCTGCCTGCCTCCTATACCCAGTGAGCCAGTGTACACTGAGTAACCCAGGGCTCCCTGCTCCCCAGAGCCACAGGGGTATGTGCTCCCCAGCTCCTCCTGCCTCTGCACAGGAGTGGTGTTCTCAGGAGGGGGAGTGACCTTGGGTCGGCAGTCCTGGGTACCCACATCCATGGTACCTCAACACCTATACTACCTGGGCAAGCTTGGACCCTGTGTCTGGCATTGGAGAGAGCGACCTTTCCAATTCACCTCTGATTGACCTTGGGTCAGGGAACCCAGGTGCCCACTGTGGCTCTGACCAGCTCTGGGACCCAGGGGGGCTGTTTCAGCTCTGAGAACCTCTGTCTCTTTATCTGTAAAGTGTGGAGGTTATTGACAACTACCTCCAGGGGTGGTCTGGGATCAGATGACATAAAACGGGTTCAGACACCAGTGCAGAGCTTCCCTGGAAGAGATGCCTGGCTAAGGTCAATGTGGTGGCAGGTGAGCTCACACATGGAGGTGGGAGCCGTGTCACAGTCAACAGCAAAAACTGAGCAGCTCAGCAATGCCCAGCAATGCCAGCGCCCACCCAAGCCCCTGAGGGATGGGCGGTAGGCACTGCCCCTGGTCTACCCTCCAGAGGGGGCTTACAATGGTCAGCTCATTCTGGAGACAGGGCTGTCACCAGGACAGCAAGTCAGCAGCCCCAGGCAAAGCTAAAAGATTGTGCTGGCGAAGAAGTGCAGCAACAAGCTCTTTTTACATCTTGGCCACTTTTTTTTACATCTTGGCCACTTCTTTTTACATCTTGGCCACTTTATCACTAATGTGATAGAATGTGATAGAATGAAAGGGTAGCTCAAAAGGCGAGCACTTGGTGGCCCTGACGGGGCAGCACCAACACAAAAGGGTGAGGATGAATGAAAAGAGGACCCAGGAGAGGAGCCTCATGTTGGTAAAGAGTTTCAAGGTGGCAAAAACAGCATGCAGGGCTCAGGGCCATCCAAGGTGGGCAGAGGACAGTGAGGAACCCTGGAATGGAGCTATTTGTGGGAGACTGGACGCCTGATGCAGGAAGGTCAAGGTCAAAGGATTGGATTCACCTTTGGGGACCGCCAAATTTAGGATGGGGATTATGTAAACAAAAGAGCGCAAAGACTGTTTTCTGGTTGAAAATGAGGTAGAGGGAGGGAAGCTGGGGTGGTTAAGGATGGGAGGGGAGAGCTTTCCCTAGGTCATTCAGCCTTAGGTCCCTAAGGGTGAGGCGAGGGTTGGAGACCTAGGGACACTCTTCCAAGACCACATTTTTCTCCTTTTATGCATGACCTGGCAGCTTATTCTGTAGTGAGATTTCCAGGGGTCAGGGGTTAAGGTCAGGTAGCTGCTGGCCGTGTACATGTTGTTGCATTGTTTGGAGGGTTGAGTGGTCTCCATGTTCCAGGTGACGGGTTTCCAGATGAAAACCATCTGCCTTCTAGGCCACCATCGTGGCGCCAGAAGTCATTCACCAGACACACCAGTGTGGCCTTGTTGGCATGGAGCTCCTCAGAGGAGGGCAGGAACAAAGTAACTGAAGGCACGATCTTGGGCTGAACTGAAGGTTCAAAAAAAATGTGGTGTCTACCATGGAGCTCCTGACCTCAGGCTTGAAGTGAGGCACAGACCTAAGTTCCAGGACAGAGACCTCAGCTCAGACTTGCTGGGCAGAGGTCAGGCCAACAGTGGGAAGAGATGAGTGACTCCTGATGGAACACCTCACAGTGCCCCACTTACGGGGAGCCTGGGTTTTCTTTTTGTATCTGCTTTTCTTTCTTGTGTTCGCACTACCCACCCATCCCCACCTGTGCTCCTCCTAGCACTGGATCAGGTGGACATTTGGAACTCGTCTCTTGTGTATCTTGTTTGTCCTGGGGCATCTATGTGAACACCTCCCATCTGGTCCCTTTCTCTGTCCGCTTCATGCTGCTTTGTCCTAGGGTCAGGTTATCATCTCTTACAGTGAGTGAATTCCTGCTCGTATATCCTGGGGGCAGCATCACTGCAGCCCCTGCCTCACTTCCTCACAGAAAACATTCTAGGGCTGCCCTGAAGGGGAGGAAATGTCAGTTCCAGAGTCTGGATTCCAGAGGTTCCAAAAAACTAAGGGCTTCAATTTTTGGAGGATTTTCTGTTCTTAGCCTGGGGCTGTGTCAGTTCTAATTGGTTTCCTCCCCACATGCAGTTATGGTGGGGAATCTCTCTGTCCTAAAATACCTTCCTGCCTGGCACCGGCCTGTATCTTTCATCTGTCTTTTCCAGGAATCCCCGACCAGGGCATTCTTTCTGGAGTCTCTTTCTCCTCCAGTTGTAGATGAGGAGGTGTCTGAACCTTTGAATCCTGAGCCCCACCCTGTGCAATGTGTCCTTCCTGTTCTGGGGCAGAGATGGGTTCCAGCAAATGGATTTATCTTCTTACAAGTTATTCTTTCTCTATTCTTGTTCCCTCCCATTTCTTCCCCCATCTCTCTAAGTCCCCAGTCCAACAGATCTCCTCACTGTGTTAAAAACAGCCTCATACCTGGGACCCAGAGGAAAGAACTCATGAGACTGAGTGCTTTCCAGTCTCCTTCCCACTTCCCATGGTCATAAGGGCCCACCTGAGTGCCTATTACCATGGCCCCAGGGACAAAAGACCCTGTGGGAGGGAGTAGACACCCATTTACCCATCCAGAGAAGAATATTATCTGGAGATAGAAGGAGTCACAGTGAAGCTTAATCAAGGAGCAGAGAGGAATCCTGGGGATCACCCCATCCTACCCTAACAGGTGCCTGAGAAGAGGGGACAGGCTGGAGGTGGTGGTAGTCAGGGGCCAGACAAGGAAGTTGAAGCGTCACTGATTTCTAGATGTTTTCAGCCCCAGACAAATGGGAAGAAGAGACAGCTCCATGAAAGTTTCACTTCAGGTCCCAAAGAAGAGGAAAAGGGGTGACTCACCAAGAATGGTGAGCTGGGTGTCTCCACTGAACAAGTAATACAGTGCTATAATCTCACACACAAACCCTCTGCCACCCCTGCCCAGGTGCACCTGCAGGTCCAGAGTCTAGTCATCCAGTCACGTGGGCAGGTCTGGCCAATGGGAGAGGTAGAAGGAGTGGTCCCCACTCATGTGGAGTAACAGTGTTGGGACTCAGGATCCACCCATCTCAGGGGTCTGGGAAGGGAAGGCATGCATATACCTGAGATCTGGTTTCCTTGCTAATGTCTGGTTTGGAAGGTGGTGTGCTGCCTGGCTCAGCTTGTTTGGGGAAAAGTCACTGGTGTAGATGATAGAGACTTATTTGTGCCACGGTGATGGTGGAGCTGGTGCTCTGCATGGAGCCAAGGCCCCTGGGAGGGTGTGGGTGCCCACCACAAGCTCTAGAGGTAGTACGCTGTGTTAGCAATTGTAAGTAGCAATTTTTCCTTGTGGGCTCATGCTTGCCAATTCATATCTGTGTGCACAATTCTCATAGCTCAAGTCCCCCATCCGGAGCTGGCCCAGGAAACTAGTGACCATGTCATACATGTGACTCCTCCTAATGAGAGGAGTCAGATCAAAGAGAGAAGTGATGCGGAAAGCTCAACTATGATCTGTCACTAAAACTCTGGAGCCCTCACTGACCGCTATGGACAGGTGGGTATTAGACACTAAAGGTGATTAAGTCCTGGGCTGGCTCCTAAAGGGTCATAGAGAGCAGAGCTACTCCTGTCCCTCAGGGACCTTGAATACAGCTGGGGCAGCCAGGGTCACATGTAGGTCCACGACACCCAGAGGAGAGTGTGGTGTGAGTCAGGGTCTGGGGGTCAGGGTCCTGTCAGTGTTTGACAGAGATTGCATGTGGGGTCCAGGGGAGTGTCTGTCCACAGGGAGGCACAGTAGGGTGGGCCTAGAAGGAAGGAGGGTAGTGTCGGCTGTGAGGAAAGGGATTTAGAGGTAGAGGAAGGAAGACAAAGAAGTTTCGGCTGTGGTGGGGAAAGGGTCTTAGTCCTGAGATGGAAGGATGTCCCGAGAGAGGGTTGACGTCCAGTCTTAAGGCTGAGAGCTCCAGGGACATTCCAGACATTTCACAGGAGGGGCTGGGGATTTAGCTCAGCGGCAAAAGCGCCTGCCTGGCCAGCGCAAGGTCATGAGTTCGGTTCCCGGTACCGGAGAAAACAAAAAAACAAAAAAACAAAAAAACAGACATTTCACAGGAGACCATGAGGATTCAAAGAAAGACTGAAACTGGGAGGGTGGATAAGGACAGGTCCACACAAGAGCAGGAAACAAAGCAGAAAGGTGGGTGAGAATGTGCAGGCTGGTTTCCTATCCAGGCCAGTTCTTGTTTTGGAGTGTGGGGTGGGGTTAGGGTGACAGTGAAAATATCCCTTGAGGAAACATCAGGAGTATTTTCTGATTGGTTTTTCTCAAGGTCAATGGATTATTTCACTTGTGCATATGGTCAAATTTAGGATGACAGGTATATGAATGAAAACGGGCAAAGATATGTTTTCTGATTGCAGAGGAGGATATTTTATTGAGCATTGTTCAGGGTATAGAGAGAAGGGCTGGGTGGCTAGGGGTGGGAAGGCAGATTCCTTTCCAGGGTCTTTAAACTCCTGTCTCTGAGTGCGGGTCTGGAGGTTCTGGGTCCTAGGAGCACTCTGCGGGAGCCACATTCTTCTCTGTGGTGCTCTCTGTATGCATGACCCAGCAGCTGAACCAGTTCCAAGATCTCCACTGGTCTGGCCTAAGGGTCAGGTAGTTGCAGGCCATGTACTTATTGTTCTGTTTGGAAGGCTGTGTGGTCTCTATGCCCTGGGTGACAGGGGTACTGTGTGCCTTCCTGATTTCCATCATGGTGTCTGGGTATAAACTGTTCACTAGACACAGCATTGTGGCCTTGTTGCCTGAAGCTCCTCAAAAGGGAGCAGGATCAAGGTTACCAATGGGGCAGCCTTAGGCTGACCTGTAAGGTGAGGGATATGTAGGGCATTAGAGGCTTGGTGTCTGTCATTCAGCTTCTGACCTCAGAATTCATGTGATACACGGGCCTAAGGTCCAGGGCAGGGACCTGGTGCTGGGCCCTTGCTAGACTGAGGTTAGATCCTGGGTGGTGGAGCACACACACTTGATGGCATAAACTCAGTGCCTGACTCTTGGGGTTGAGCTTCAGGAACAGGTTCATAAGCTCTCATTATCCAACTTACCCATTCTGCCCCAACACTGCCTAGGACAAGCCCCGTGACCTCATACTTCCTCAGGAAACCTCTTTTTGACCATCTCTCAAGTTCTGCCCTCTGTCTCTTTCATGCAGGTGCCTGTCCTGTTTCCAGGGTGTGTGGGGGGTGGTGAATGTTTTGATCATATGCTCCTTGAGCAGCCTCTCCCCCTTCCCCACAAAGACCCTTCTGTGCAGCTTTGATGGAGTAGAGTTTCAGTCCTTTGGGCTGGTTCTCAGGGTGTCTAGGAGATTAAGGATTTCCATGAGGCTGGGGTTTTTCCTGGGGCTTTCACTCTTCTAAGGGTTGTCCCTATTATTTGACAATTTTCATTTTTTATTAGTACCTATTTGTATGACATAATGATGACATTCCTGGGAGCTGGTACATATACCTAACACATCTCAGTTCTTTTTTTTAATCCCTTTCCCCTTCTCCCCTGCCCCTTCTTTCTCTTTGTATTCTTTCCATGTGCAAAATATCCATCTCCTTACTTTCTATAATGTCTTTTATTTTGCTCTTTATTTATATTTTGTTTTTCTCATATAAGAGAAACCATGCAATATGTGAGCTTGTGTGGCTGATTAATTTCAGAAAGCATTATGGTCTCAAGGTGCATTCATTTTCCTACAAGTGACTCAAGCTTATCTTTCTTTATGGCAGAGTGGTGCTCCATTGTGTGTAAATGCCACATTTTCTTTACCCATTCTTCTGCTGATGGACATGCAAGCTGCTTCCAAGATTTAGCTATTATGAATGACACTGCTATGAAAATGGGTATTGAATGTACCACTGTAATATGATGCCTTTAACTCTTTTGGGAAGATACCTAGAAGGGGAATAGCTGGGTTGAATAGAACTTTTGGTTTTAGTTTTTTGAGGAATCTCTCTGTTGATTTCCATAATGATTGTACTAGTTTATATTCCTACTGACAATGAAGAAGTGTTCCTTTTTCACTGAAGCTTTGATATTTGTTATTATTTGAAGTTCTTTTGAGGAATATGTCAGTCCTGGGACTTCTTCCATCTTAAAGAAATCTGTCACTGGTTCTTATCAGGACTCCAGCCCAGGGCATATTTGGGGGGATGTCTCTATTCCAGTTGTGGGAAGGGGAGATACCAATTTTGGGCCTCTGAGTACTGAGATCCAGTCTGTCCAATGTGTCCTGCTTGTCCTGTGGTTGGTGGTAGGTCCCAGCACCTGGATCCACCTTCTCATAGGAAATCCTTCCACTATGCTTGTCCCTTTCCTGTTTCTTCCACCATCTCTCCACATCCCTAGTCCAATGACTCTGTTAACAGAGATGAAAGAAACCCCATAGTTAGGATCATTGAGGACAGTCCCAAGGGGGCTGAGACTTTCTCAGTGTCCTTCACACATCTCCTGGCACTGTGACCCCAGCCTGAGGCCTCTCTTCTCTGGGACCCTATGGCCCAGAAACCTTGGGAAAGGGAGTGGACATCCCAGATTCCGGAAAAAGTAAGTCCTAGAGAGTTAGCCTAGGGTCAGAGTGAGGCCCCCACAGGAGCAGGAAGGGCTTACTACGATTGTCCCATTCTGACCTGGAAGGTACTGATGAAGAGGGGACAGCAGGAGTGGGTAAGGGGCCAGTGAAGTAAGATTAAGGTTACAGATCCCTGGAAAGGTTAGAACTCAGCTCCACAAGGTCATAAAGGAGAGTGAAATCTACCCAAATATCCCAAAGAGGAAAAAAGGGGGAGACTCACTGTTGTGGCTTGTGTCTAGATGTCCCCTCAAAGCCTTATGTGATCATAGGTGGGACTTTTCAGAGGTGGCTGGATCTGGAGTGTATGATACTGGGATTAAGTGTGTGATGCTGGGATCAAGGGTGTGTGACTACTAAATTAGTGCACTGATTGGTTTGGCATAGCTCTAGAGATGAAGGGTGCCCCACCCTGGGTATGAGTGCTACCCACCCTAAGGATGGGTTACCTGGGTAAAATATAAGGGACAGAAAGAGGGCTAGCGTCATTGCTTTCTGCTTGGTACTTTGCTGCTTTTGCTGCCTTCATCCTGCCATGAACCATTTTTTTTTTTTTTTTTTTTTGTGATGCTCATCTGCCATGTCCCCCTGCCTTGGAGTCATCTGATTATGGACTGAAACCTCTACAAAGTGTGAGCCAAATAAATCTTTTTTCCTTTAACTTTGGGTGTTGGGCATTTTGTCTCAGCAATGAGAAAAATAACTAAGAAACTCACCAAGGACAATCAGGTGGGTGCCTCTGCTGAACACATAACTGTGATACAACCCTGCACACAAGCCCTTTTCATGTCATGACCCAGACCCACCTACAGCTGCTTTGGAGGTCTGCGTTGTTGAGAGCAGGTTACCCCTGCTTGGCTTGGAATGTCAGTCAGCCCACTGAGGTTCTGTCTTGAGACATGGATAGTTTAGGGAGGACATCTGTGCATGGAATCTGTTTTCCCAGCTAATGGCATTTCTGGGAGGCAGTTGTGTGACTTGAGTCTGCTGGTGTTGGGAATATCAGGAAAAGAGGGACAAGCAGAGGAAAAGGGGGAGAGGTACTTGTTTCCAACACAGAGATGATCGATCTGGGGACTCTGTCTATTTGGGACTCTTGAGGAGGATCCTTGATGTCCCTACACCTTGAGCACAAGAGGTGGTTTCAGGGATGTGGTCAGGAAGGGGAATTGTGTAGTAAGTGAGAAGAAATTCACATTTTCCACCAGGGACCTGGATCCCACTGCAAGGGTCTGAGCTCCAGCGGGTCTGTGGGGGGTTTCATCTCTCTTAAAATTGCAGTGGATGGTGTCTCTATGGCAGTTCCTTTTCTGAGACAGTGGGTCAGCCCTTTCCTTGAATGGTGAGGGGTGCTAACCTGGAGCTGAAATAGCCCAGTGGAGCTCCTCAAGGAGTGGGTGGTAGGTGTTGCTAGCTGATGCTATGTGTGCTAAGTATGGGGGTCTCAAGTGGTCTATGACCTTTTGGATTACATATACACCCATGTGCACATAAGCTCCACTATTTCCTATGTGCACATGTGAGGCAGCCAGCCTGTGGTCACTAGCACAGGGTATACCCACAGCCCAGGGATGCATGCTGTACCCCAGCCTGGAAGGACAAACACAGAGTGGGATTTAGACTCCTGTCAGTGGGGCTCTGATGGCACCCTTGTTCTGGCCTATCACCTGAAGAGTACACACCTAGCCACATACTTGGCATCCTACACTCTCCGACAGTGTCCCTTCAGCAAGCCCCTCCCTGGTGCTCTGAGTTCTATCTGCTTCCTCCTGTCTCTTGTGTCACTCTCCACCTCCAGTGGAAATATCTGTCCTTCTCCAGTGTCAGCATCCTGCTTGGGGGCTCTACAGATCCGGATTGTAAGGTCCTGGTTGATTTTTGCTGATGACCTCATAGGGGCCTCACTGCAGTCCATGGCAACCTGGACCATCCTCCTAGAGCGGTGTCCACTCTGACAGGATTGTAAATGGACATTAATGTAAGCGAGGTTCTCTGGCACATTGTGTGTATTTTGTGTGTGCAGATTTGTGCTTGTGCATGGGTATGTGTATGTGCATGCATGTGTATATCTATGTGCATGCGCACATATATGTGTGTGTGTATAACAGCTTGAATTCTACCTCAAGTTGTTAAGAAGGCAAGACAACTGATTACCTTACCAGTAGTGCCACAAGAGGTCCTAGAGGGCTCAGGTCAGTGTCCCCAGGAAGGCAGGAACAATATGGGCCTTGTGTAAGGTGTCAGGACAGGGATTTATAGGTGTGGGAAGTGAGACAAATAAAGCATGAGCTGGGGGAAGTGTCTTAGTCCTGAGATTGAAAGACACCTTGCGACAGTGGTGTTGTCCTAACTGTGAAAGTTGAGGATGTCAATGAAGGGAGCTTAGACATTCACCTGAAGGCTATGTGGATCCAAGAAGAGACAGACACTGGGTGGTCAGAAATGGACTTGTCCACTAAGAGCATGAGAAGGAAGAGAGGGGGAGTGAATGCATGCAGACTGGGTTTCTTTTGAGGGCTATTCCCTTGTTCTGGAATGTTGTGTGGGGTTAGGGCGAGAGTGAAAGTGTACCTTAAGGGAACATCAAGAATCTTTCCCTGATTGCTTTGTCTCAAGTTCAAAGAATTGGATTCATTTTGGGGGATGGTCAAATTTATTATGCTTACAGACATTTTGGGTCCATGATCTTGGACTCTAAGATGGTACATTATCTGTAAAGCATTTTCTTGGGGGGTACTGGGAATCGAACTTGAGACCTTGTGCTTGCCAGGCAGGTGCTGTGTTGCTGAGTTAAATCTCTGGCCCTGGTGATAGTCAAATTTAGGATAGTAAAATTGTAAACAAAAATGAATAAAGACCATGTTTTCTGACTGAAAATAAGGATATTTTATTGAGTATTCATTGGGTTCAGGGAGAAAGGCTGGGATGGCTGCGGTAGGAGGGCAGATCTCTCTCCAGGGTCCTTCAGCTCCTGTTCTTGAGGGTTGGATGAGAATCAGGCTCCTAGGAACATTTTGCAGGGGCCATGCTCTTTTCCATGGTGCTTCCTTCATGTGTGACCTAGCAGGTGTAACTGTTGTGAGATTTCTACTGGCCTGGCATCAGGATCAGTTTGCTGCTGGGCATGTACTAGTTGTTGCTTTGTTTGGAGGGCTGGATTGTCTCCATGTCCTGGGTGATGATGTCTGCCTTCCAGGACACCATCATGGCTCCTGGGTAGAAGTCTCTCATCAGACACAGCAATGTGGCCTGTTGGCCTGGAGCTTCTCAGAGGATCGTGGGAACAGGTGATTGAGGAGGTGGTCTTGAACTGATCTGCATGTTAGAGCAGGAAGTGGGTCAGCATGCTGGTGTCTCTCTGTGGGCCCCTGACATTAATGTAAGAGAGGTTCTCTGGTTCAGGGACCCTGGGTTTGAGTGATGCTGATGTAGAGAGTGGATTGGGGATTTCCTTATACTACTACTTCCTGGGTTCCTAGGGTTTATGTGTCTGGACACCTGTGTATCATGTCTCTTGCGACCTCTGCATGCATTGGCCTCCCATACAAGTATCTCACCCCCACTACCCTGCCCCGGCCTCCTCCTGACATCTTGTCCTGTCTGAGTTCTGTCTATCTTGGAGCTCTCTGTATGTTTGTGGACTTTCTCTAGAGATAGTTTTGGCTTGATAGTTCCTCTCTGGGGAATGTGGTCTTTACCTAAAGAGTCCCATTTTATCCCAATTTGTCTCCTTTGGAGACTCTTCAGTGGGGGAAGAGCATTTGCTCATCAGAACCTCTGCCTGACTGGTCTGTGCTCCCTCCTTCTCAGAGTCTGGTTAGGGTCCCTGTCTATGGGTCAGACCTATAGATTTCATACTTTGGAACTGCTCATCTGTTAACTCAGGAGCTTCTCCTTGTGATGAATGTTTTATGCAGAGACCCCTGAGTCCACTTCCATGCATCAGGTCCTTCACTCTAGCCACCTCATGTCCAGAGCCTTCTCTGAAACATAAAGAGGACATTAGTCTCCGGGAAGCAGCTGGGGATTGGCAGGACCTTGGCATTGTATCAAACAGGGCCCTTGAGATAAAGACAAATAGGATCTTCCATTCCAACCTTGGGTCACAGAATTTTTCTGTGAAATGTACCTACCACGTTGCTGTGAAATTCAAGTTCCTACATATTTCTTCTAGCTCAGAGACTGGAACTTCAGTTGCTGTGGTTGGGGTCAAGTTCCAAAGGCCCTCTTTCTGTCTGTCCCATTACTGGGGAAGCTCCCTGGCTTTGTAGGCTCTTTCACTGGTCCAGCTGCCCCACTAAACAACTATGGTGAAGGCAATTGCCATGTCCCTGCTGAACTAGAGACAATGATGGCTCTAAGTCCTGGGCATTGCAGATTGACATAGTTAGACAGGGTTGGGACCAGTAAGAGGTGGACCCCACACTTTGTTGACCCTGGCTAGTATTAGTCTTAGTTGCATAGTGGGCTGTGGTTGCATATGACAGGATGTTGGGGCAGTGGAATGCCCCAGTGATCTGGGATGGCTGTGTCTTCCTGAACTTTTGGCGTTTCCTCTAGACTTCGGGTCTTACTTACCCTACCTTGACTTTGTGTAACCTGAGCTGACTCTAGTCCTCAACTGAATTCTGAGGTAGATTCACCCATCCTGTGCCTGGCACTGGGCCATTTCTCATTTGACCTTGTTCTCCCAAGTCTTACCCCCTCAGCAAGTCTGACCATTCCCAGGTTCAGCCTTAATCAAACTTAGACAAATTCTGCCCCTCACCTGACTTTAGTTGTCAAGATTCAACACATTTGACATCCCAGTCACATTCTAGCACTAATCTTGACCTCGTTTAGAGTCCTAGGCCATGCGATCATACACCTAAGATACTTGATGCCTCAGAGTCACTCGTTGTCCTGAGATGGGTGAAGACAAACCTGAGGAGTTTTACAGGGCTCCCTAAGTTGGTTGGGAAGATCCTCAGGATTCTGGATTTCTTAGGAGGCATTATGTTAACTGTTTTCCTGATACTACTCCTGTCAAATTCTTTCCTAGCTGCCGAGCACTGTGATTATGTTTCATTTCCCAAACTCTCCCATGACTTTAAATGTCAGCAAAGCCATGCTACCTGTAAAGGCTCTTCTGAGTGGGTCCCTTGTTGGAATGGGGGAATTTTCAGCTGTGTTCCTGTTAGACCTTGGCCATGGCTCACAGGCCTATTTCCCTCTATGTTTCTCGCTCCAGGCCATGGCTTAGCTCATGAAATTCCCTTTATCTCTCTATGGCTTCTGTCAGGACCACATCTCATCCTTCGTTCAAGAATGCTCTCTCTTCCTAGGGAGAAAAGACTTTACCCCAGCGATTGTTCTGAAGGAGAAACTTCTTACTAGGGATCGAAGTCCACAAGACACAGGGAGTTCACTCATGGCCCAGGGAGTTTGGGTGGATGAGACGACAGGAAAATAGGACCTTACAGTGGAATTTACTCTGCTCCTGAGCAGTGACCCCTTAGCCTAGAGACATAAGCAAACATTGACAGTGCAGTATAAGTGGAAGATGACACATGATTAGGTCCTTTTGTTGAGGCTGTTCCATTTGAGGAGAATGTGAGACCTATTTGGTATGAGCTAGCAATGTGGGGGGCACATGGATACAGCAGAGAATTGGGAAAAGAGAAAATTGGTTTTTCAAAGCCAGCCTGGGAATGATGCCAGAAAGGATGGTCTCTGTGGCACCCAGTTTCCTACTGGCTGTTAGGATTCCCTTCCTCCCACACTGAAAACACAGAAGTGGTTGAAAGTGAAATGCAAGGCAAGAGCAAATGATACAGAGCAGGATTTCTGATTGACAATGAATACTGTTGCTTTGTTTGAAGGGCAGGGTGATCTCCACACCATGGGAGACAGTGGTGCCAGCTATCTTCCAGGCCACCACCATGGCAGCTAGGTAGAAGTCATTCAACAGACACCCCAGTGTGATCTTATTGGCCTGGAGCTCCTCAGAAGAGAGTTGGAACAGGGTTGACTGAGGGCGTGATGCTGGGCCGCCCTGTGGAGAGTGGGAAGCATAGGAGGTGAATGGTGTCTGGTTGGAGCCACTGACCACAGTCTCGAACTGGGGAGTAGGCCCTGAGAGTGAGGCTAGGGACATTTTCTGTGCCTTACTAAATTGAGGTTACAACATAGGAGAAGGACACTAACCTGATAGAACACTCCTCAGTGTCTGACTCTTAGGAAGTCATATCCCTCTTTGTGATTTGTCTCTGGCACCAGTTCATAGCTCTCATTACTTATCCCATACATACTCCATCCAAAAACTTGTTGGGATAAGCTGTGGGATCTTATATTTCCTCAGGAATTCTCCGTCTTAACCCTAAGAAGGCTGACCATGACTATGCTTAGCTTTGAGTAAAGCATATAACATGTTCCTCACCTGACTTTAGTTGTCAAAATCCATCAGCACGGAGATCCCAACCCCATGTTACCTTTACCTCATTCTGGCACACCCATTTCCCCATGTGCCTCAGAATCACTAATTCTCTTAGCACAGATGAGCACAAACCTGAGGAGTATTATAGGGCTCCCTGAGTTGACTGGGATCTGGAATCTGCCCTCATGGGTGACATTATGTGAACTACTTTCCTGTTGCAGCCCATGTCGGTGTCTTACCTAACCTGCTGAGCATTATGAGTGTCTGGTTAATGCTCCTGCCTATTTCATCCTCCAAACCTTCCATGATTTCCGAATGTGATCATAGTCTTGGACCCCTATGTGGCAAACACTTTCTTGGGTGGATCTTGTTCTAATGGAGAATTTCCAGCTGTGTTCCTGAAAACCATAGCCTTGGCCCCCTTATTGCCTCCAGCCATGCATGCTCTCGTGGGATCCCCTACATTTCTTTCTCATTTCTGTCTTGGCCACATGTGTTTCCTTGTTTGTTGCTCTCTGTTTCTACACAGGCAAGGACTTTATCCCAGGAGCTATTCTGTAGGAAGAACTTCCCGCTTGGGATCACAGTCTCCCTAGGATAGGGAGTGCACACACAACCCTGGAGGGTCGGGTGTATGGGATGCCTGAGAGATGGCAGATCACAGTGGAACTGCCACTGTCTCTGAGAAGTGACCCCACAACCTACAAGTATGTTGGAACGTCAGTGGCACATTACAATGTGGGAGGGATATATGATTAGGTTTGCTTGAAGAGATTCTACTTGGGTGGGTGTTGAGACCTGCTTTTGCCAGCTTGCAAGTCCAAGGGATAAGGGGTACAGTAAAGAATTGGGGAAATGGGTGAACGGTTGATGAAGTCCCCCCTTTGTGGTCATGCTGAAAGGCAACTGCAAGTGGCAATTAATTTCACACTGGGCGTTAGAATTTCTTTTTCTCCCCACACTGAGAAACTCAAGATGGTTGGAATTGAAATACAAGAACTGAACAAAAGATGTGGAGAGGGGTTTATGCTGGACCTTGAGTAAATTATTGAGCATTCATTGAGTTCAGAGAGAAGGCCTGGAATGGCTTGGGGTAGGAGGGCAATACGTCTCCCAGTTATTTAGCTCCTGTTGCTAAAAGTGGGGAGAGGTTTAGGGACACAAGAACATTCTGCAGAGAACCCGCTCTTCATTAAAATGCATGTGTGATCTGGAAAGTGAATCTGCTGTGGGATCTCCAGTGATCAACTGTAAAGGTCAGGTAGCTGCAGGCCATGTATTAGTTGTTGCTCTGTTGGGAGGGATGCTGGTCTCCAAACCATGGGTAATGGTGGGGCCATTGGCACTTGCACAGTGCCCGGGTGGAAGATGTTCATCAAACACATAATCGTGGCCTTGTGAGAACACATACAGTTGAACTTCCACTGACCTTGAGCAATGACTACTCAGAATAGAGCCTTGACTGGTCAATGATGCCACATTGGAAATGTTGCATGATTAGGTCTTTATTGAGGAGATCAAAATTCAAGGATATATGAGACAGAGTACCCAGTGGTGAAGAAGAGGATAAACATATGGTGGGCAATGCTGGGCTTCATCAGTCTGACTGCTTCTCTCCTGCAGAGTTTGTCTTCATCTTCCCTTAGCTAGCATGCATTGTGAAAGCCAGGAGTTCACTTCCCACTGTGGCATTTAATCACCCTGTTTTGGCTCCTTTAGATTCAGAAGTTTCTCATTTCTTCTACATTTCTCAATTTCTCTGTTGGCTCAGAAGTCTCATCCCCATGGTGACTTGGGGATTATTTTCCCCTCTAACCCTGTTCCTGATCCTGGAGCTTTAGCTGCCAACCCAGAGAACCTCCTGGAGCCTCCTACTTGTGGTATCCTAACCTTGGCTCTTTGTGTTCTAGGTCTTTCTAAATCCACCAGTTTTCATAACCTGGGTACCCATTTTCTCCCATTTCTCATGTGATAGGGCCTCAGTTTACACTATCACAAACTCATCATATAAAGCTCATGAGACAGACAGACAGACAGAAATGCAGATATGGAAAGTGAAGGATGGAAGAGAAGTGCACTTTTGAGGTATACTCCAACCAAGATAGACAGACTGACAGACAGGCTGACAGACAGAAAGACGGTGACAGGGAGATGAGTTTTGAGTTTTGGTAGGTCATCCTGTACATCCCTGCCTCTGGGGTGCAAGGGGAAGGAGTGCTGATGGCCAGCTACGGCAAGCATGAGGGTCTGAACAGGGAAAGAGGAGGTCAGCATCCAGAAGCAAAACCCAGAGAGAAAGTCTGACCCCAGGCCGAGGAAAAACACCATAAAATCTCCTAAAACAGAAGACTATTGTCTCAAATCATGGGTAGTAACAAGAGAAGGAGAAGAAGCCACTTACCTAAGATGGTCAGTGCGGTCCCTCCTCCGAATACCCAACACTGTGATACAGAGTAGTGCAAAAACCTCTCCTGGCCTTGCCCCTCTCGACCCCCAGCTGCAGCTGTGCTGGGGTAGCCCCTCCTGGACCTGTGTGTCCTGCATGTCAGGAGGGAAACCTCATGAGCAGATGCCTCAAGTGCATGGTGCCTATCTTAGAAGAACCCACTATCCTAGTAAATGAATGGCCTCCCTGAAATCACTTGTATGCTTTTGTTCTCTCAATGGAAGAACTACATTGAAGGAAAAAGTGAAGCAGAGAGCAGCATTCAGGGACAGTTCACAGAGGCTGGTGGCTGTGCAGGGACTCTGGACATTCC